GTTGTACCGTCTACGGTTAAACTTCGATTACGCTTAATCAGCTGATAACAGATATTAATTAACCATGCAAATTTGGCCAATTAAACTCCGGTTAACTTTAATCAGAGACGGTACAACTGGCTCTTAGTACCACAGAATGGGAGAAACCATGACAAAATATGGTTATATACTATGTAATGTACTTTGCTATAATTTGCCATGGGTGAAACCTAGTACAATCATAATTCATAAGCTAAAATAACCAAGTTCATTGTAGAACATGTTTTGGATATTGAATTTTCTAAAAACCATGCCTTGTACTTTGTACATTATATTTCTTACGTTATAAATATAATGTAATTTCTTATAATATGCTATATATATATTAGTTGAGAACTTCATTGAAATAAAAGTTAATACAGTAAAATTAGTTTTTCAATAACTTGTGCTACTGCCTACTTGTTACATTAATCAAAATATTAATATAAGTTATAGAAACATGGTTCATAAACAAYAATGCCTGAATTCATTAGCAAGAATTGCATTTAATCATTTTATAATAAAGGTAATAATAATAATAATAATAGATACACACTACACACATACATTAATTTTTATAATTCATAAATAATAGTAAAATACTTTACTTCTGTGTTTACAATATTTAAGACATTTTCTTTAAAGAAGTATAGCGCTACAGCACCAGTGAACTTTTTTATRATTCACGACATATGAGAAGTATGGTTAGACACATAATATAACAATTAGTTGTGTTGATCAATATTGCAAACATACTTATCATTTAGGTGAACAGATATTAAATATAAGAATACAGAAATATATCTTTTAAAATTACAAAAAYAATAAAACCATCTTTTTTTAGATATAATATCAGAATTTTACAAATTATAAATATTTTTTAGTATTTAATTAGTGTCCATCAATAATATAAAGTCAAATATTTTTCAGATAAATATTTCCAAACAGAAAATCATGAAAGACTGGGTAAAAACTAACAAAATTTAATATTTTTATAAATATTTCATAGAGACTGGCATTAAAAATAAAACCATATACCTATACACAAATAATATACACATATTGACCTATATTATATCTAATTATTGATCATTGTCACCTCTATGCRCTAGCTGTGATCCATATAAAAAAAAGCAAACATAACTTTAAATTTAAATAATCAAATTTGATACATACAAATTGTTTAACATAATAATATGGCAAAAACAATGTTATTCTACAAATGCATAATAATACATTTACTGATATTTAAAACAGATAAATGGTGATTACATTTTAAATGTTGTCTTTTTCTTTATAATTTTTTCTAGGTACAACCATAGATATATTTGGAAGCTTATGTTGGGACAATGAGACATACAGTTGAAATAGAGTAGGTACTTTCATGTATAATACAGGGGGTATGACCACCTAACATATTATGAGCTGAATCAAAGAATTTATAATTTGGCTTTACTTTTTTTATATCTATTTTTTTGATCTTATGTCATTTTTGTGTATGACTTAATAATAAGTTTATTATTATAATATTTAAATACAACATAATTACCTTGGATTAATTTTAATAAATGTAATTATTTCTTAGAACTATTCATTTATAGAAGTAATATAGGTACCCTTATCTTGATTTTTGAGATATAATATCAATACATTTTTCAGGATCAAATATTACTTTCTCATGAATAGCCAATGTTAACCCATTGAAACATTCTAAAAAATAGCATTAAGTTAGGTAAAATAATAATTCATGATACTAAATTTATTTCTGACTACATGAAAATGTTCTATAAGAATTCGATATAGACATTGTTAATGATTGTATTGTAATTACTACATAAGATATAGATAACATAAAATAAAGCATTTATGTTTATTAATTTTCAGTTTTGCCTACCATATTCTTAGTCCAGCAATAATGATTGACTGCTGAGGTATAATTTTACAAGTTTTTTCAAATGGTTAATGATCAACAACAAAATATGGAAAAAGGTGATAAATCAGGCACTCAAAATTTCATAACCTTGATTAGTAACTGTTTGAACAATATAGATATATATTTTTTAATTTTAACAACTCAAACTACGGTTTGTAATATTTACTTATTATTAACAAATTAATATAATACAACTATTTACTTAAGTTACCACTAAATATGCATTTAGAAAAGTTTACATCAAATGAAAATTGTTTAGATAGCTCAGAAGTCAGTAATTCATGTAAGCTGACACCATCATGTTTGTAAATCCATTTTGTACCATTAAAATCATATCGTTTTGGACCACTTATTGGTGAACTCAACCAAATTTGTTTATTTGGTGTCTGTCGATTAATAACATATGTGCCATATGGTTCACCTAATTGAATTGTTAACACACCATCCTATTACATTTTATAAGRAAAATTATATGTATATATTAGTTTGATTGAATAAATACTTGTAATTATGTATATTATATTTTAAATTATACATACACTAAATAAAATATCAGGGTTTTCAAGTTGTGGGTTATCTTCAACAATTTGTTCAAAATATTCATATAACGATTCTAATGTTTCATTGCAYGCTTGTTCAAAATCTATTTCAGTTCTAAAGCAAAAACAAATTGTGTATTAGGTAATATCAAATTAAATTTTCCATAAGTATTATTGTATATTAAAATAATAGGTAAGTACAGATTATTAGACACAGAAAAACGTCTAGACATATAAGACTGGTGTATGTTGAGRTTGCCATAAGAGTAGAATTTTATATGATGTTGAAGTAAATCAATTTTAAACTGTGATCGATTGAAAAGACGGTAATACTCTCGTTTAGATAATGTTTTGGTAAAAAAATCATTTTTTAACACTAATGATTGTAGTAATTTCAACGACGTCATTCTGAAAAATGTAGGGATAAAAAGTTATTAGACACTATAGAACACATAAATATCGTGTAGGAATAGATATGTGTTTTACTTTAATAGATATATATGATATAAAAATCCAATCATAGACTAGAATCCGAAACTAGTAGAGCATAATAATATAAATATTAACTATATAGGTACCTAATCAATTTCAAACAATCTTAAATCTACTGACAAAAAATAACTGATTTAGAATGTAGAAATATAGATATCATGGACTACAGAGAACAGAGTACAGAGTGGTACAGACTTAAATATTTCATCGCGATGGTGAATGGTGTTGCAGCTTCAGTAGAGCGTTCACTAATACTAGTTTAGAGACGGGAACGATTCATGTATTCATGATTCATCTGACGATGGGAACATTCTAGACTTCTAGTTCTCCCGGAGTATGATAAGAAAATTGTAAAAGCGCTCTTATCATTTATCAGTATACACACTATCACAGCCACGGTCTTAGAAGATCTTCTAAGACCACAGATTATATAAAACAGATTATATAATTTCATCTATTCTGTGCTTATACTGAGTAAAAGGTCTATGGTCCATCTTAAATCGTGTTTACATCTGTGTTGTATCCTGATAGCACGGTTTAAGATAAACCGGTGCCTGATAGTTGTAAGTGCCGATAAGAAATAAAAGATAAYATGATAAACAATAAACTTTAACATTACAATTTTTTATGAGATTTTAATCTGGTAAAAAATGTTATTAATATAGGACATAGGTAGTCCTAAATGTATTATTTATTATATAAGTAATAAGTGTTGTGCTGATAATACTTGTGAGCCATATTTAAGAGAATATTATTATATCAACTAAGTGATAGTCAATAAGCATAGGTATGATAATATTGGTAATGTACTAATAGGTATCTATTTAGTATTCAACATTAAATTCTCATATTAATAATAATTGTAATAGTGTGCCATACATTTCCATAACCATAAATTATTAATCTAGTTTTATTTTCGTATTAATTATCACTTGATACTTAGTTTTATTCAAATTTTACACAACTCATTTTAGATATTCAAATAATAAGGTAAGTAACTCTACTATAATTACTCTACTATAATTACTTTTAATACTGCCATTTTTGTCGCCAAAATATCAAATTAATTAGGTTCTTTAATCATAATTCTTTCAAAATTAAAGTAAAAAATATGAAAAAACATTATTTTTGTAAAATGTATATTTATATTAAGTTTGTGATTTACTTTCTACTAAAATACYTTAGCCCACTGTTTTCCCTATAGATTTTGTGATTCCGTGTCAGAGAATAGAAACTTAAAAAAATTGGTATCTACTTATATACTTATCTGTTGATAAGTAAAGGAATAAAGGATACTTTAAAATTATATGTAAATATTAAAAGTGGCCAATATATTTATTTTTATATAACTGATAAGTTATAATAGATAATTGTTAAATTTGTTACATATATTTAAAAAATATGTCTTAAAACAAAATTTAATTTTAATTTTCATAATTTGTCAATTTATTGTTCCACTTTGGACTTGGATAACAAATGATTAATAATTTAAAATTTGTTTCAAATGTTTATCTATCATTTGTATCATGCTTGACATTTGTGTACATAGGTGAAAATAGTGTTTGAGATTTTAAGGAGGCTGAAGTACTATAATAACAATTAGCWWWATTGAATTAGTTTAAAAAAAATTAGGAAATATTTGGGGGAATAAAGTCTCCATTCTATTTGCACCTGTGATAGTGTACCTACAATATAAGTTGAAAGTTATAACTTATAATAATTCTGTAGAATTGAATTGTGTMATTTCAGAACAATGTACACCARAAACATTTTGACATTATCGTTTTATGTTTAATTAAAATTTTAAATTACGATCTACAAAATTATAAGTAGGTAATGGAATAAAATAATGTGAACCATCCGAAAATAAAAATTTAAGTATACTACAATACTATTTTACAATACCAATTATATGTCATACGTGGTTAGTAGGTATTTAAAATAACAAGTAAAGACAATCTGAAAAATATTTCTATCTTCAGACATTGTCTCAATGGCTCAAAGAGGCAGGAATCTAATATTAAACTTAGCACAATAAAACATTAGCACCCCTTAGTTGCCTTATTCTAAAATGTTGAAAACTACGATATTGTTTTCTTTTTATGTATTAATTACATAATTCTATCCTTTATAATAGAAATAGAATAACTATAATAGCTAGTGGTTAGGTTCGGACTCCCCCCCGCTTGGGTTGTGTAAAATAGTTTATTATTAGAAATTTAGAATATTTGTTGGTCTGTCGAATATAATATGTTTTGTAAATATATTGTATCATCATATATATATTTCTGTATAAAATAATTTAACTGAAAAGTCTGTCCGACAAAATAAATATTCAAACAAAAGAATATTTTATTTGAAAATATTACGACCTAAAATMCAAAAATGGTACAAAAAGTAGTGCTGCTTAGCAAATCGAGATATATTTTCGCTGTTTGATCGAGTAATCCCGTCTTGTTTTTAATCTAGGCGTTTACAATTCGTATTATAATCGTAGTAAATTATAGCGTTGTGTTTAAAACACCGAAAATCGGAACATTCGGCTATATTGCTATAACTTGAACTTGAACACCAATAAATATGAATTCCATTAATTTATTTTTGGTCCATCGTTATTAACTCATTAAAATACWTAAACTTCCGAAAATAAAGCTCTGCCGGTAAAGTTGTTTTGTTCCAAATTCATTATTTCACATTTAACTGTTAAAGAATTAAATATATTTAGAATTAAGCGCCATTATTTGACTAATTGCCTTTATCTATATTGTATAGTAGGATAGTTGGCACCTCGACTATGCGCATAATAGTTGGCTGTGGACACAAGATATGTATAACAATATTCATAAAATACCTGAACTCGATATAAGATTGAAACATCAACCAAATTTTACATGATTTGATAATATTGTGTTGATTAATCGATTCACTTTAATATTAAATTTATATCTAAGACCTAAGTAATAACATATTTATACATATATATTATATATTGCTAGGTATTGTACTATTGTTCTGTGATTGTATTTTGCGTGTAGTTTGTACTTACAAGTTGCATGATAGAAATAACATAATATAATATGGGGTTGGGGCGTCCTAACTATTAATTATTTTATAGTAACAAAATATTCTACCCACTTTTTTTGTATATATTGTCTCTATTTGCATCTAATCAGTATTCGTAATTATTTTTCTCAAAATTATTCAACAGGTAGGTAACCTAACTAGGTATTTAAATTTTAAACACTAATCTATGTCCATTTACTAATTAAACCGCACGGTTTTACAGAAAAAATGATGTTATTTGAACTCATAAAATCATCAATACATAACATACTAGAAATTTGAATGGTGAATACAACATGTTTATACCCAATATAATGACTAGCGATTGAATCGTCGTTATTGTTGCAGATGCTTTGTTCGACTCGCCTCAGGTTTTCGACGCGTTTGTTGGCGTATAGACGAAATCTKTCGACTGCCTGTATGGACGACGTGCTGTTCGAGGTCAAAAACGACGTGGGCATCATTACGTTGAACAGACCGAAAGCGCTGAATTCCCTCAACACGTCGATGGTCCTCAAGATCAAACCGAAACTGAAAGAGTACGAATCACTGGTAAGGATGGTGATCATGCAGGGTGCCGGCGGCAAGGCGTTTTGTGCCGGTGGCGACGTAAAATCCATCACGGAGAACGGCGTAGGCGCCAAGTCATTCGAAATCGGCACAAACTTCTTCCATAATGAATACTCGATGGACAGCATGATCGGAAAATACAAGGTCCCGTACGTATCGCTGATCGACGGCATTACGATGGGCGGCGGCGTTGGCATATCCGTGCACGGCAAGTACAGGGTGGCTACCGAGAAGACACTGTTCGCCATGCCGGAGACCGCCATCGGGCTGTTCTGCGACGTGGGTGGCAGTCACGTTCTGTCCAGGATGGACAAGCACCTGGGCGTCTTGTTGGGCTTGACTGGGTGCAGGCTGAAGGGCAGCGATGTGGTCAAGGCTGGCATCGCCACGCATTACGTACACAGTTCAAAGATCGACGGTCTCCGGGCCAAGCTGATCGAGGACGTCCGAGACCCGGGTATCGTACTCGCGGAGAACACGGACGATATGGATGGCGTGGAGTTCAGCATGGCACCGTTAATGGAGAAAATTGATTCGATATTTTCCCACGAGCGAGTCGAAGATATTGTCGAAGCGCTGAGAACAGATGGTTCGGAGTGGGCGCAAGGGGTTCTTAAATCGCTCAGCGAGGTCAGCCCGACGGGACTGAAAATCACTCGAAAAGAAATTTCAAAAGGAAAAAATCTCAGTTTAGACGAATGTATTAAAATGGAACACCGATTGGCGGTACGGTGCATAGAAGCCAAGTATTCTACCGACTTTTACGAAGGTGATTTTCATTTATTTATTGTTATTGTTACAGTCGTTTTAATTATTTTATATTTTTTTTGTATAGGGGTTCGAGCACTGTTGATTGACAAAGATAAAAATCCAAAATGGTGTCCAGCTTCATTGGAAGAAGTGAAAGATGAAATTATTGACAAATATTTTGAGCCATTATCAAATGATCAAGAGTTGCAATTATCATAAATAAATATTAAATTATAGTATTTTTTTATTATAATTTGTTGACATAATTGTTATTTTTTATATTCTTTTAACTTGTTTTAAATATGTATGTACAATATTATACACACAACAGACTAAAATACATATTTTTTTAAATTCACAAATTTTATAAACAGTAGTTTTGTTGGTATACTAATCGAGACAAATATAATATAAATTACACATGCAATGATGCAATTATTAATGAAATGTATACACATTAAGCTTCATTAAGCCATATAAATACAATTTCTGAAATGTTTTATTARTTTAAATGTTTTATATAATTTCTGAAATTTGATCCTTTAGATCTTCAAATATATTAGATGAATAAACAACTTTGATGTACCCTCAATCATAATTAATCCAATTGAAAACTTTTTTAATGGGGTCACTTCAATACTTGCCATGGTAGAGTATATTAATGACCAGCCTAATAAGTATAAGACTTTTAAGWACAATATATAAAAAAAGCAGCTCGCTAGGGGTCCCTCAACTACCATTAAATACTAAATACTTTTCTACAATTTATGTCAAGTAAACTATATGCTCTTGTTGATAAAATACTTATTAATAAATAAATAACCATAATTCAGACCAACATATAACCTAAAAGCCTCAATAAACTTTACATAGAAAAAGGACATAGTTTCATTTACATATCATTATAAAAGTTTTGTGATAAAATAAATTAATAAATTATAATATATTAATACAATTTAAAAGGCACCAAAAGACCAATTTCTATACGATGTTGAATAAATTTTTTTATCTAGATGTACTTATTGTACAAATATTATCTTATTGTAGATTACTGACAGTCAATTTTTGTTTCATAATAGTTTGTATACTGTATCATGGCTCAACCAGGCCCCGATAGGCCAGTCAAGCATTCGAGAAAATCTCGAAGGGCCGCTAAAATTTTAGACTGGTATGAGAAATTTGCCGCAATGCCTACATGGCTACATTATGATTTTAATGACAGCTATATTATAATAGTATACAGTCAACAAACGT